GATCCAGGGGCAGCCACAGCTTCTCTGGGCAACCTGGGCCAGGGCCTCACCACCCTCACAGGGAAGAACTTCTTCCTTCTTTCATGTGCATTAACAATTCAAAAGATGAGAAAGATTTTGCAGAGGTGGTTCCTACAGCCACATATTTGGGGACTTGTGCTAGTCAACATTTTCCTAAGGGATTCTGAAAAGGATGAACAACTGGGAAACAAAGTGTGCAAGCACCAACACAAATGACTGAGGAGAGATAAAGCTGAAGGCGAATGAAAAAGGCTGTACAAAGACCTCACACTGCTGAGTGACTACTCATAACACGGCAGACAAAATTCAGCTGTGAGGAACGTGAAGAAATTAAAATTAGTTGTTTCTTACTGACCCACAGGTCTGTGCCCTCCATTAGCACTACTCCAGTACAGCAGCCAGCAATTAATGGAGGTAATTTTCCACAAATAACACTTCGACACTCAGCAGCAGAACTCAAGGAGAACTCGAGAAGATGATCAAAGGGCTGGAGCACAGTTGCTGTGCAGACACGCTGGGAGAGCTGGGGGTGTTCAGAGTGGAGAAGAGAAGGCTCCAGGGAGATGTCAGAGCCCCTTCCAGTGCCTAAACCCCGACCAAAGCAGCCGAACTCACCCTCACAGCCGTGTCCACCCCTGCCGAGGCCAAGCGATTGATCTTCCCATCCGCCCCGTGCTGGAAGTCCAGGCTGTAAACAGGCTCCTTATTGTGCCACACGATTTCGCAGGTGATGACCTTCATGTCCGCTGAAGAAAACAAGAGCAAAAGCCCACCTCAGTTCTTGCTCCTTTAGGGCTCTGGCCATCAAACTTCCCGCACATTTCGCAGGCACCGCCGACACCCCCCGCAACTTCCCAGCAGGGACTGACAGGATGCTTTGAGGAAGGCCATTCCTAAAAGTTAGCACTGAGTACGGCTAATGCTCCTGTTTCGGGACTGCAGGACAAGAATATAAAGCCCTGTCTCTCGGCTCACCCCACCATGGGTAGAAAGGCACAAAGGAAGAAAACCCCGCCGGGGTAACAACCCACACAACGCCCGGGTGAGGGGGGGCAGAGGCGCCGCTGGCCGCTCCCCTGAGCCCCGGGGACCCCCCCCCAAACGCGCTCCCCACACCCTGGGATCCCCAAATCCCGGTATGGATCTCCCCTTCACTCACACACAGACACAGAGGACACATCCCCCCCCCCCCCTCCCCCCTCACCGTCCCCGGCCCGAGCGACTCCCGCGCTCCCGCCTTTCCCGCCCCCGCGCCCGCCCCGCGCATGCGCGCGCCCGCCCCGCGCGCCGCCTCAGCCGCTTCGGGCCCCCTCAGGGACTCGCGGCGCCGGGACGGAGGCAAAAAATCATCCAAATAAACCTTAAAACTGAAAAAGTCCAGTGTTCGCCTCTCCTCAAAATAACAGTTTTGTTGGGGTTTTTTTTAATTATTATTTATTTATTTATTTTTATTATTTTATTTAACGGGCGCCGCTGCGCTTCCCTGTTGTCGTGCAGAGTTCCCCTATTCCCGTCCTCAGGTTGCCGAGGAGGAATTTAGATCCCGGCAGCACAGCGTGTGATGGGAACCTTCTACTTCGTGGAGGTCGAGGGTCCATAAAAACCCCACAGTTGTATTGTTTTTCTCCGTGTTGATACCTAGAATTGGGAAATTGCGCTCCCTGCGCTGGTGGTGTTACTATTTCGTGCACTTTTTGCTGCTGAACGAATGATATGGTTTCGTCTTCTTCTCCTTCTTAAAAAAGGAAATATTTCCAGGCAAGGTCCAGTTAAGCAAAAGTCCCAAAAATGTGTCCCCCTGGGTGAGGAATTGGGCAGTTCCAGCCTCAGTCACCACGGGGGCACCTTCCTGGGCGGTGTTGGACACCCATGAGATTGTGGTTGTGCCAGGGAAATGAGGCAAGAACAAATCCAGGGTTTTCTAGAGTTTCCCTGTGCTGTCCCATTCCTGAGAGGTGCTGGCCAAGAGGGAGACGGGGTCAGGAAATCTGGAGAGCAGTCTCTGTTCCTTCAGGCCCCGATCTCTGCTTGGTGTGAGCAGGGACAGGACGCAGGGAAGGGCTGGAGCTGGGACAGGGCAGGCTCAGGGTGGATCTCAGCACAAGGTTCTTCCCCCAGAGGGTGCTGGGCACTGACCAGGCTCCCCAGGGCAGTGGGCACGGCCCCAAGGCTGCCAGAGCTCCGGGAGGGTTTGGACAATGCTCTGAGGGACGGGGGGGAGTGTTGGGGTGTCCTGGGCAGGGCCAGGGCTTGGACTGGGTGATCTTTGGTGGTCCCTCCCAGCTCAGGATATTTGGTGATTCCCTGATTATTTCTGCTGCCAACACCCGCCTTGCTCCTGAGATGAACCAGGAACAGAGGAGCAGGATTGGAAAACTCAGCATCTTTTGTGAACAGGTTGTGACGACCCAGCCATAAGGGAAAGGCAGCAGCTGAGAGTTGTAAATCCTTGTGGTGGGAAGGAGCGACGAGAGTCAGAGAGTCCGCAAACAATTAGAGAGTTTTATTAAATATTTATTAATTTGTCATTATAGTTACTGGTTATTATTGTTATTTGTTATTATAGTATTGTCGTTTGTCATTATATTATTTGTTATTTCTAATTTGCTGTTAATACTGCTTGTTATTGATTTGTTGTGTCTGGGATGTCGCAAAGGTCTCTGGGCACCCCCGTGTCCCACATCACAAAGGGCCCTGGAGGGCGCCCGTGTCACAAAAAGGGCCATCCCCGGCGGCGGGATCACCTGCTTAAATTAGAACTTGTTTTAAACATTTCTTTTTTTTTTAAGAAAGAAAAAAAAAAGGAGACTGTATCCTTTGTTTGGCAGCAAAAAGCGCACTAAATAGCAACACCACCAGTGGGGAGGGCAATTTCCCAATTCTAGGTATTCACACCGAGAAAAATAATACGACCCTTCTTTTTTTATCGCCCCTTGACCTCCACGAAGTAGAAGGTTCCCATCACGCCGCCTGCAAAGGCTGCCGGGATCTAAATTCCTCCTCGGCAACCTGAGGAGGGAAATAGGGGAATTCTGCGCGACACAAGACATTTATTTACACTGGCCAAACACAGCAACGCCCGCTAAGTAAAAAACACCCCTATTGTTCTGGGGAGAGGCGAGCACTGGGCCGGTTTAGTTTTAGCTTTATTTCTATGTTTTGGGTTTTTTTTCCCCTCCGAAGCCCCTGAGGGCGCCTGAGGGGGCGCGCGGGGCGGGAGAGCGCGGGAGGGGGGGGCGGCCCGTGTGGGGAGACCCACACAGGGCTTTGGGGTCCCAGGGCTCAGGGGAGCGGGTTTGGGGTTCCCGGGGCTCAGGGAAGTGGGTTTTGGGGGTCCCGGGGTGTGGGGAGCGGGTTTGGGGGTCCCAGGGTGTGGGGAACGGGTTTTGGGGGTCCTGGGGCACAGGGGAATGGGTTTGGGGTCCCGGGGCTCAGGGGAGAGGGTTTGGGGGTCCCAGGGCTCAG